CCAGCTTTGCTCCGTCGCCGATAAACATCTGCACCAATTGAGGTCCGGCTAACTTCAAGAATGTCGACTTCGTCTGTGCGGCGCACGCCCTCGCCATCAGTGTCTTCCCAGTGCCCGGCGGGCCGTATAGAAGCACTCCTTTCGGGGGCTGTATTCCCAGATTCACAAACTTCTCCTTATGAGTCATCGGCAGAACCACCGCTTCAATGAGTTCTTGAATTTGTTTGTCGAGACCTCCGATATCGTTGTACTGCTCGGTCGGCCTCTCGTCCACTTCCATAGCTTTCACTCGAGAGTCATATCTGTTGAGCAATCAATCAATTAATTAAACGTATTATCGCTTTAAAGCAAACACTGGACACATACTCAGCCGGCAATGTCTCTAATATGAGATACGAGTCTTTGTTAACGCCGACCAGATCTCCGGGTTTTAGTTTCTCGGCGTCCACTAAACCGATAACCGGTAGGAAATATGTCTGTTTTCAAAGTCAAACCAATCCAGAAGTGAGACAATTGAAAAACTTAATCCACAATTAGTGTCAATACCTGTCGAGTGGATGTCTTAATGACAGCCGATTTGCCCTTCCGTTGAGAGTCGAGGTCAACGTTGGCGCCGTCCTCTTCGCCCAACTCTTCCGGATCAATGTCTAAGAGTTCGATGACATTGGAGACCAAATACGGCAGAGTTTTATTCACTTTAATCTTTTCCGTGTTTTCTTTGATTTTGTCCTTTTGTGCCGACAATTCATGACTGATTCTCAACACTTCACTCCTCATAATCTTGATCTCGTTGTCCAGAAGTCGTGTCCGTCCGACCACTTCGTCGGTCGACATCCGCAGCACGTCTTCGCTCAACACCTAATTGGCATCAAATGACGGATTAATTCATTTAGAAATGACAGCAAAAACTGCTGAATCATTGAATGCTTGCCACCGATGGACACACTTTCAGACAATTGTCTTATGAAAGCAATCACTCAATGCAGCCATAAATACCTCAATCGTGTCATCGGTTTTATCCATCGAAACACTCGCCATGTCTTTGATGTTTAATTCACTTATTATTTAATTATTAATATTTAGACAATCAATGAATTAAAGACCTCTTGTTTTGTACAACAAATGCAATACAATATTCAATACATAAATGACGTCAACATTACATGACTTTTCATAATTTAAATGTTTACTGAATTTAATTATTAACTATTATTAATACAAGTCATTAAACATATATTAAGCGTCGGCTTTAGGTATTAATTAAAAGCCCAAACTTTATATCAATTTAAATATATAGTTGTAAACAAATTAATGAAATTTAATACAAATATCCAAACAGTAATGAATGTGTGGTTAATGTGAGACCCATTGTGTTTGTGGCCAATCAGAGCCAGTGTTTAGGAAATGACAATATTTTCAAATCATTTTAAATTTGAAATTTTAATTATTTTTAATTGTTATTGAATTGAATGACAAAACAATTGAATTGAATGTAAATCTAATGGAAAATAGAGTCGATTTGATTCAACAACTCTTAGAGGCGACAGATTTTCAGTATATTTGCAACATTTTTATAACAATTAACTTATTTTTCACATAAATTCTCTCATTTACAGTGAGTTTCAGAAATTCGTGGACTCTTTGGATGACATCAATGAATACGTTATCAAAAGTGATGACAATTTACTCAATTTATTACACGTTTGTGTCAGTTGTGAGGATCAAGAGTTTGCCGTCAAATGTATTCAATATCTGTTGTCTTTCGTTGACATCGAAGTCAACTGTTTGGCCAAAATTGAGTCCAATCTCATGACCGCCGCTCATATAGCCATCCAATGGAAGCACTCAAAGGCGCTGAAGATTGTCATTCATTTCGGGATCGATCTCTTCATCTGTGATTCATATGGAGATACTGTTCAGGAGTACGCCATCCGGAGTGCGGACCCAATCATTATCGATGTAATCAAAGAGGGATTTCAGATATACTTTTCCAGTCAAACCACTTATGGCTTTAAAAATAGTCACAAATCTATAAATAATTTCAAAGAAGATCTGAGAAGTGATGAAGATTTGGATCAAACGGTTATCTATTTTAAAGACGAAGACGAAAATTGTGAACCGATTGATAACTTGTTTGATTCTTTGGGATCAGACAAATCTGACAATACATTGATTTCCAACATATCGTATGAGAAAACAGATTCAATAAAGAGTTATCGTTCGGATGGAAGCGATAAAACAGAGATCTATGTCTACAACGATAGGGACCATAACGTAATGCTCGTCGAAGAGAGATTCGGCGGATGTCTTGAGACACATACTTCTCATCACAAGTTCAATACCACTGATGTTGTATTGAAAGGAAGTGTTAGTATAACTAATACCGATCAGCAAATCGACGAACTTATAAGACTCATGAGTGACACACAAATTGTGGATCAATTGAGAGCAATGGGTGACTCTCCCGGTCCTGTCGTCAAAACAACGAAACGCTTTTACGCGAACCGTCT